TATAGATACACCTGTATATGTAGCATATAGCTATATAGAGAGAGAGAGAGAGAGAAAGAGAAATGTGTGTATGTACGTGTAGTCCTCCCTGTCGCCCCCTCGTTCCCCCGACGTGTTGGTAGGGCGGGCCGGGCAGGCGCTTCGCAAGAGATCCCCTCTCCACTCATGATCCTGGAGCTTGAAAAAATGCAAAGTCTACGCAAAGGAGGGGATTAGAATGGGGCTATCGCCTTAGCGTCGCGCACGTTACGATTTCGAACCATGGCAACATGTATCTGGACGGGCAAGGTCAATTTCCAAATGGTGCACTCGCCTTTGCACCGCGCGCATCCGTTTGTAAAAGCTTGTAACAGCTACAGGGATGGAAGATGGCTCTTCTTACATGGGGCTCTCGCTTGAGACATCCTTGAGTTTGATGGCAAGGAGCCTCATATTACGTGACAGGTGCACGGGTGCACCTCCAAGACTTGTTACGCTGAACAAGGCAGAGCTGAAGTCGCGCTGCAGGGAGCCTACCCCCGCCCTCTGCAGTTGAAACCAGCGCATCCAGACGGGCGGGCGGGGAGGTTCTTAGCCACGAGCCCAGAGCGCCCGTCCACTTCGAAGGGGCCGCTCAACGACGACGCAGGGTCAAAAGCCACCAGGCGGCGTCAAGGTCACTGCGATGGGACTGGTAGGGCAGCGCGGAAAGGGGAAGGGAGGGCCTGGGGCCGGGGGCTGAGCCAGGCGGCGCGCCGACCAGGCCCAGTATGGCCTATGGCAGAGCCGTGGCGCGGGGTCTACCGCTAAAGGTATACAAGGTCAGGCTGCAACGGGGGGGGAAGGGGGGGGAGGGGCAGGGGGGGGGGTGGGGAGGGGCAGGGAGGAGGGGAGGCCCTCCCCCTCCCCACTGCCCCCTGCCAATCCTCCCTCGCCTGCCTCCTGCCTTCACACCCTGGGCGAGCAGGCACCCGGGCGAGACGGCCGGAGGCAGGAGCGTCGTGGATGCCACGACAATGGACACCCGAACAGTCCGATCATTGAAGGTTAAAATGTGTTTAACATGTCGGAAAATGTTCTGAACATCTTGCAAAACATGCTCGAAACATGTTCAACATGTTTTGACATGTGGGGCACATGTTCTAAGCATGTCTCAAAACATGTTTCAAAACATGCTCCAAACATGCTCAAGGCATGCTTCAAGCGTCTGGAAAGTACTTGGCAGCGTGCTCCCTCTCCACCGGTCGTCCTCCTCCAAGAGGAGGCGGGCGAGGCGAACGCAGGTGGGGGGGGAGGGGGCGGGCGGGCCGGGGGCGGGGGCCAAGGTCCGTCCGCCCCGCGGCCAGGCGTCCGGGCGCCCGGGCCCCGACCGCTGCGGCCGCGCGCGGGCTCCAGCTGAGGCGTCCTCCTCCGCCTCCTCCTACGGAGCAGCATCATCATCATCATCATCATCATCATCATCATCATCATCATCATCATCATCATCATCATCATCACCATCATCATCATCAGCATCATCATCACCATCATCATCATCAGCATCATCATCACCATCATCACCATCATCACCATCAGCAGCATCAGCAGCACCATCACCAGCATCGCCATCATCATCATCATCAGCATCATCATCATCATCAGCATCATCATCATCAGCATCATCCTCATCCTCAACAGCATCCTCAACATCATCAGCAGCATCATCAGCATCAGTATCAGCATCATCATCAGCATCAGCATCATCATAAGCATCAGCATCATCATCATCATCAGCAGCAGCATCAGCATCGTCGTCATCGTCATCATCATCAGCATAATCATCGTCATCATCATCCTCATCCTCAACATCATCCTCAACATCATCAGCAGCATCATCAGCATCAGTATCAGCATCAGCATCAGCATCATCATCATCAGCATCAGCATCGTCATCGTCAGCTTCATCATCATCATCATCATCATCAGCATCATCATCATCATCATCATCAGCAGCAGCAGCAGCAGCATCGTCATGCTTATCGCCAGTACCCTCACAACCATCATCAGCACCACCATCACCACCATCATCACCACCGTCACTACCACCATCAGCGTTACTATCACTCGTACAATTAGTGTGCTTCCTCCTCCGTCACCTCCTGCTCCTCCTCGTCCCCGTATGGATCCGCCTTCTGCCCCTACTCCTGAAGGCGCAGGAGAAGAAGAGCCCTGGAGGCCGTCCCTTCCCCCTCTGACCCCCCCCCTCCCCGCCCCCTTCCATTAACTCTCAGCCCTCGTGCTTCTCTCCCTCTGACCCTTCCATGTGACCTTTCCCTCTCCTCCTCTCCCCCTTCATCCCCCTTCCCTCCCTGCCTCATCCTCATCGCCCTGACCTTCCAACCTCCTCTTCGGCCTCATCGTTCTTACTTCTTCCTCCTGCATCCTCCTCGTCCCCCTCCTCCTCCTCCTCCTCCTCATCCTCCTCCTCCTCCAGCTCCTCACGCTTCCCATTTCCCTCCTCGTCCTCCAGTGCGAGAGCCACTCACACCGCGGCCATGATGCCCGCGGCCTCCCAGCGACACGGGGACCCGAGGAGAGGAGGCAAGGGAGCCGAACGATGATGAGGGGAGGGCGGATGGGAGGAATATCAGGTGGAGAAGGAGCACGGGAGGAGGGAGCAGGCGGGGAGGGAGGGAAGGAGGGAAGGAGAAGGAGGAGGAGGAGGAGGAGGATTAGGAGGAGGATTAGGAGGAGGAGGAGGAGGAGGAGGAGGGGAAGACCGGATGGCGAGGAACGGGTGGAGGAAGGGATGCGGATGAAGAAGGAAGCAACACACCCTCGCGTCTCAAGTTACCCTCCACACACACACACACACACACTGCGGGGAGCGCCCTTGAAAGACGAGCGTCTCGCTTCTTCCCCTTCTGGGAGCTGGCTGTATCCGCTCACTGCTGGTAAACACAACGTCCCCCACCCGAGCGGCCGCCAGCCCGCCCGAAACAAGGCGCCCCGCCCAACCCCGGCCAGAGAAGACGCAGAATGTCATGCGCGGCAAAGTTCCCCCGAGCGCGGGCACCGGAGCATCATTGCGCACGTCCTGCTGCCAGGGACACGGGGAGGGGGGGGAGGGCGGGCGTGCCGCCGGGCAGTGGCCCACCGTCCCTGCCGATCACGACTGCAAAGCGACTGCATGGGGCACACGCACGGCACAACGACGACCACCCCGCCACCGCTCTGCGCAGGTGTGTGGCAGGGGGCGGTGGGGGCGTCGACCTGCTGCCAGGAGCGGACTGCCGCGCGCACTGGGCGCGCGTGGCGCACGTGGAGCACCCGGCATGGCCGGAGAGGGTGGCACACTCGGCGCACGCTGCGCATCTGCTGGCGCGCGAGGTGCCCCATGGCACGCTCGACCCCTGGAACGACTGGCGCACCTGGCGCGCGTGGAGCATCTGGCGCGCCTCGTGAGCGCGCTTGGTTGCCCTATGGCTGTCAATCCGATGGCGACCCGTGCCTATGCACAATCCTGGATACTACCACTCCTCCCCGTACCCCCTCCCCTGTGCCTGGACGTGGGGGGGGGAGGGGAGCGCGACCCGTTAGAGCATCCAAGATTGCCCCCCCATAGACGGCTCCAGGACGGTGCGAGGCAATATCAGAATGACCCGAAGGCCGCACAACATAGTCTCATGGAGGCCCCCGTAACGCCACAAGACGGGCCCAAGTGACCTTGGAGCTTCCCGAGGATGACCCCCAAAAAGACCAAATCCCTTTCGACACTGAGTGTTTCATCTGTGAGCACCTCCCCGCAATGACACGTCTGATGGGCTTCCGAGACCTGCAGTTTGCTCCAATATCGTTGAAGAGATAACCAATCGAGCCCCGAAGGCCTCCAAGAGCGCCAAAAGAGATCCCCAAGAGGGCCCAAAGAGACGGCGCTTCGGGATCCGATGGGACGAGGTTAGGTAAAGCCCCCCCCCCCCCTTGATCCATGTCCTCCAAGATGCCTCCAAGAGGGCCCCCCCAGGCCCCCAAGAGAGCCACGCAGGCTCCAAACATTGCTCGAGAGAGCCCCAAGAGGGTCCCACGCGGCCTCCTCGACGATTCCAGAGGTCTCTAAGTCACTTGTTGGCGCCTGGGTTTGTCCATGCTTCCGTATACGCCCCCTTCTCCACGCCCGGCATCCCTTCTGCATGAGCTGATGGAGATAGGCGAAGAGTCAAGAGTTTGCGAGAAAGGTTAGCGAGCTGTGACATCGGATCGTTCAGACCGAAAACTGAGCTCGGATGGTGTCGACACGTCCTCCAAAAGACATGGGAACTGCACTATTCGGGGGGAGGGGGGGATTGCAGCGCCAGGAAGCTCATGAATCACAACCCGGGCACCGCACGTGCGACTCGTTGCAACCACACGTCGCCGATGCGCCACTGCTCAAACAACAAGCTCAACCGAACAACAAGACACGGGAGAGCACGATAAAGAATAAAAGTGGGCTATGACGCCGCCTGCCTATCCCGTCTGCGATTGGAGGGTGGGACGAACAGTCGATCCCCTGCGCCCGAGGGCGCCTTGCTTCTGTTGCGACCTGCTGATGCGGCAGCAGCTGCCAACCGTTCCATCGAGGACATGTCGTCCTCGTACGCCGCTTCCATGGCAAGGGCCTGAGCACCAAGAGCAAACACAGCACGCCACAGTGGCAAGAGCCATGGCGTAAGGCGCAAGGGCGGAAACGAAACGTTCGCCGATCCGTCTTGCACTGCAAGCGTGCCGCGCAGAGAAGGCTGACCATTAGCATCACCAACGTTGGTAATGGCTCGTCGCGATTTCGCTGGCTCACCACACACAAAAAAACAAATCCACCAGACCACTTCAGGAAGTTCAAGCATAGCACGACCGCTCATGCTGGTGTAATGAGATGGCCCAGACCTGCAACGTCCAAACATGATCGGTCCTCCAACAATGTACGTCTCGAGCGTGTCAGACTTCGATGGTTGCACGTACGATGCGCGCCAACAGCCGCAAGCACGTTGCAGTGCGCACGCCGCTCATACTGTGCAACGCGCCTCAGGATCAACAGGAGCGTCAACAGCACCAGCATCATGTATAGCGGGTGTTGCCTTGGCGGCCGACGAATTCTTGGCGGTCGACGAGTTCTTGGCGGCCGACGAGTGCTTGGCCGACGAGTTCTTGGCCGCAGACGAAGAGTTCTTGATCACGCCGCCACTTGCAAGTGCAAGAACTGACTGGTAGCCGCTATTCCCTTCACTTTCTGCAGTAAGAAGCCGGCCAACACATCAGACCTCACCTATCCATCGCTGACGGTTGCCCGCATGCACTTCGCAACGCACTTGCCCGACTGGCCGTTTGGATCTGTAAGGCTTTGGGGCTGCGAAGCAACGAGAGCTCCGACGACTTCTGGTGATGCTTGCAGACGGTATGTAGGTACGCTGGTCCATCGGGACGAAGGGTTTCCGCTGACGCAAATCTACTTCACGTCGAACACATGTGGGCTGTGTCGGGATGTACAAACGTGCTGAGTTCACTTCCTCATCCTGCTTTTTCTCCTCCTCCTCCTCCTCCTCCTCCTCCTCCTCCTCCTCCCAGCAGTAATACAAGAAGGACATTCACGGCCAACGCAGACATGACATGGGCGCTTCGGACCACCATGCTGCGAAAGGGTTGGTCCTGAAAATGGCCAAAGATCATCCGGGCAAGGCATCCCGCATCCTCTTGATGGAGACAGCGGTCAGCCTTACTGAATGTATAAAACTGCGGGGCTTCATCGTCCCGCGCAGTTGCCCTGAGTGCTACGAGTCAGCGACATGCACCAACATCGAGATGAATTAATTTCAGTTTGGAAGGGCAACAATGTAGAGCGATCGTGGCTGCATACTTTGAGACCGTGGGTGGCGCCCCCATGTATGATGGCAGTTCCCCGCGCGGCACGCGCGTGCCACATGTGATTGCCGCACCCAGGGGGGTGCAAACGGCCACGAGGTAGTGTGCCTTCTCTCGCTTCCTCCTGCCGTCCTTCGTCCTCGTCCCGCTCCTCCACCCATGTGACGCATTCAAGGCTAAGTTTAAGTCGGGCGCGTCCCCCTAAAGGAGGATTTTCGACGAAAAATTAAAAATACACCCAAATTACGCTACCGAGGAACCCCACATACTTAATTTAAATCTTATGTGCTTGCTTAAATTTATCATACAAGCGCAATTCTGCGTTCTCAGCCCTCGTCGCCAATGTTCCCCTCTGTGTCATCCAACGCCATATTGCTTGAACCTCCTCCCTCTTCCTAGCCTTCTATCCTCCATCGAGGACAGATTCGAGCCAGCCAGCGGCCGCGGTGAGGGACCACCCCCTGCGCACCCTCTATGGTGTCGAGAAAGTGCCACGCCTGCTATGCCCTGGACGACCGTCGTGCATGGCGGCCGCGGTGAGGGACCACCCCCTGCGCAGCCTTTATGGTGTCGAGAAAATGCCGCGCCTGCTATGCTCTGGACGACCGTCGTGCATAGCGGCCGCGGTGAGGGACCACCCCCTGCGCACCCCCTATGACGTCGAGAAAGTGCCACGCCTGCTATGCTCTGGACGACCGTCGTGAATAGCGGCCGCGCTGAGGGACCACCCTCTGCGCACCCCCTGTGGTGTCGAGAAAGTGCCACTCCCGCCACGATCTGCGAGCGCGTCAAGGATAGAGGCCGCGCTGAGGGACCACCCTCTGCGCACCCCTTGTGGTGTCGAGAAAGTGCCATTCCTGCCACGATCTGCGAGCGTGGCAAGGATAGAGGCCGCGCTGAGGGACCACCCTCTGCGCACCCCCCGTGGTGTCGAGAAAGTGCAACTCCTGCCACGATCTGCGAGCGTGTCACTGATAGAGGCCGCGCTGAGGGACCACCTTTTGCACACCCCCTGTGGTGTCAAGAAAGTGCCATTCCTGCCACGATCTGCGAGCGTGTCACGGATAGAGGCCGCGCTGAGGGACCACCCTCTGCGCACCCCCTGTGGTGTCGAGAAAGTGCCACTCCTGCCACGATCTGCGAGCGTGTCACGGATAGAGGCCGCGCTGAGGGACCACCCTCTGCGCACCCCCTGTGGTGCGAGAAAGTGCCACTCCTGCCACGATCTGCGAGCGTGTCACGGATAGAGGCCGCGCTGAGGGACCACCTTTTGCGCACCCCCTGTGGCGTCGAGCAAAAGCTACTCCTGCCACGATCTGCGAGCGCGTCACGGATAGAGGCCGCGCTGAGGGACCACCTTGTGCGCACCCCTTGCGGTGTCGAGAAAGTGCCACTCCTGCCACGATCTGCGAGCGTGTCACGGATAGAGGCCGCGCTGAGGGACCACCCTCTGCGCACCCCCTGTGGTGTCGAGAAAGTGCCACTCCTGCCACGATCTGCGAGCGTGTCACGGATAGAGGCCGCGCTGAGGGACCACCCTCTGCGCACCCCCTGTGGTGTCGAGAAAGTGCCACTCCTGCCACGATCTGCGAGCGTGTCACGGATAGAGGCCGCGCTGAGGGACCACCCTCTGCGCACCCCCTGTGGTGTCGAGAAAGTGCCACTCCTGCCACGATCTGCGAGCGTGTCACGGATAGAGGCCGCGCTGAGGGACCACCCTCTGCGCACCCCCTGTGGTGTCGAGAAAGTGCCACTCCTGCCACGATCTGCGAGCGTGTGAGGGACCACGGCGATGCCACTCCTGCCACGGCGAGCGTGTCACGGATAGGGACCACCCGCACGCGCGAGGGACCACTCTGCGCACACCAAACCCACGTGCGCTCTGCGAGCGTCACGGATAGAGGCCGCGCTGAGGGACCACCCTCTGCGCACCCCTTGTGGTGTCGAGAAAGTGCCACTCCTGCCACGATCTGCGAGCGTGTCACGGATAGAGGCCGCGCTGAGGGACCACCCTCTGCGCACCCCCTTGTGGTGTCGAGAAAGTGCCACTCCTGCCACGATCTGCGAGCGTGTCACGGATAGAGGCCGCGCTGAGGGACCACCCTCTGCGCACCCCCTGTGGTGTCGAGAAAGTGCCACTCCTGCCACACTCTCCGACCCGCTGTGCTGTGCTCTGCCGTGCTGTGCTGTGCTGTGCTGCGGTGAGCTGTGCTGTGCCGTGCTGAGCTGTGCTGTGCTGAGCTGAGCTGTGCTGAGCTGTGCGAGCTGAGCTGTGCTGCGTGCGTGGGGGGAGGGGGGGTGTGTGAGACGCGGGTGCGACGCGGCAGAGAAGAAAACCAGAGCCCCACGAAACATGTGGGGAAATACCCCAAACATTTTTTTTTATATAAAAAAAAAAAAAAAAAAAAAAAATCCCCAGACTACACTCATATCTTCTGTTAAGAAACTCCCTCTCGCCAAGCTGGGTCTCAAAATTTCTTTAAATTCGATAACGAATTCCCAAAAGCTGGCTCAGTTGCTTAACGCCGGCATCTTCTTACTGATCTTCCTCCAGATCTTCGAGATCTTCTTCCAGATCTTCGTCGAGATCTTCCTCTGGGTCTTCCCTCAGATATTATTCCCGATATTCTTCTGTATTCTCTCCGAGAGTTTCCCCCGGATCTTCGCCGAATCCTCTCCGAGATCTCCGCCCAGATCTTCCTTCATATCCTCGCCCAGGTCAATCCCTCCATAGATCCCCCCCCCCAGATCTTCATAGAGATCTTCCCCTAGATTTTCCCCTTGATCTTCCTTCAGGTTTTCTCCCAGATCCCCCCCTGGATTTTCCCCCAGATCTTGCACCAGATCCCCCTTCATATTCCCTCTCAGATCTTACCCCCGATCTCCTTCAGGGTCGCCGCGCAGCTCTTTCACCAGATCTTTCCCCTGATCTTTCTCCAGATCATCCCCCAGATCTTCCCCCAGATCTTCCTCCTTATCTTCCTCCAGATCTTCCTCCAGATCTTCCTCCAGATCATCCTCCAGATCTTCCTCCAGATCTTCCTCCAGATCTTCCTCCAAATCTTCCTCCAGATCTCCCTCCAGATCTTCCTCCAGATATTCCTCCAGATCTTCCTCCAGATCTTCCTCAAGATATTCCTCCAGATCTTCCTCCAGATCTTCCTCCAGATCATCCCCCAGATCTTCCTCCAGATTTTCCTCCAGATCTTCCTCCAGATCTTCCTCCGGATCTCCTTCCAGATATTCCCCCATATCTTCCTCCAGATTTTCCTCCGGGTCGCCGCGCAGTTCTTTCGCCAGATCTTCCCCAAAATTTTCTCTCAGATCTCTCTTCTAGATCTTCTCCCAGATCTTCCTCCAGATCTTCCCCTCCCGGCTGTTCCTCCAGATATTCAAAGGAAGCCCCTCTTCCAAGGACGGGCCTGTGGGGTGCCATGAACAACAGGCCTTTGGGGTGCCGTGGAGTGCATCGCACAGGCCGGCAATCGCCCGGAGTCGTTCCAGGGCGAAAATTTGGCTGAAGATCTGGCCAGATCCTCTCCTTGAGGCCCGTCCGGATTTTTTCTCGTGATCTTCCCTTGGACGTTCCCCCGATATTCATCCACATCTTACCTTCGGCGTTCCTCCAGAAGCGGCTTGGAAACATCCGGGGTCGTCTTGGGGCTCTCCTGCGGCCGTCTTGGCGGCCACGGTGGTGACGATGATGTTGATGATGATGATGCTGATGGTGGTTCTGATGTTGCTTCTGATGCTGATCATGACGGCAACGATGATGATGGCGATGCCGACGATGATGACGGTGATGATGATGAGGGCCCGCGGCAGCAGCGAGGGGGCGGCGGCGGCGCGAGGCCGGCCGCGGCCGCGGCGCCGCCGATGCAGCAGCGACAGCGGCGGCGGCGCTTTTCCCCAGCATCCTCTGCCGCTTCGGCGGCTGCTCGTCCGCCTCCGCTGCTTCCTGCTCAGCCACGGCGGAAGCGACGTCCGCGTCGCCCTCCTCGTCTTCGAAGAGCCGCGCAACTTCGCGGTCCACGGCCTCCGCTGCGCGCCTGCGACGCCACTTCGCTGTCGGCAATGGCAGCGGGCGCCCGCGTGGCGGAAAGTATTTGAGCAAGCGCACGGGCCTGCAGGAAAAGCCGTGCGCGTCCACGAAAGTCTGCAAGACTTCCCGCAGAGACGGCATGTTGGCCGTAACCCATGTTGGCGCGGCGCCTGCGCCATGGAACCGCTCACCTGTCCAGTGGCACCAAGCTAGAGAAAATCATCCGGCCCAGCGAGCCACAGGTGCGCGGGGGGAAATCAGGAGGAAGATCTGCGCCAAGATCACGAGGGAGATCTGGGGCAGGAAATGGAGGAACATAATTATGTAAAACAAATGAAAGAGGAAGATCTGCAATAATATCCGGGCGCAGATATCGAACGTGATCTGGCGGAGATCACGGAGCGATTGAATAAGTTTGGCTCCAAAACCAAATGCCCCTGCAGAGCGGCCGCGGTGGGCCCCTTCGGCAACCGGGCGAACCCAGATGTCCTGTCCGGGCCCACTGCTGCGAGAGCGGACATGGGCACCCCCTCCCAGAAGGATGAGCTGGAGGAAAAGACTTGGGCAGCAGTGACATTCCGCGCCAAGTTGCGACACGCGCAATCGCTGGCCTGCGCCAACGAGCGGGCGAGCACATTGATGAGCATCGCTTGGAAACGAATGGCCTCGCACCCGCGGCGGAAATGCCGGGGCCCGCCGTCCGGCCACTTCTCGGCAATGATCTGCTTCAGGCGTCGAACGCCTACAGCGGGATCCGCGCGAGCCCGCGCGGGCGGGTCGACCGCCAGCGGGGGGGCGCCGAGGCGCGGCTCCGAGAGCTGAAGCACCCGCAGCTGCACGAGAAACCGGCGAGGCCCAGTGGATCGGGCGGAATCCCCGTGATGCGCGGAGGCCACGCTGGAATACTGATCATTCAGGAAGGAATTGAGGAGCCAAGCAATAATCTCACCCACGTTCTTCTCGCCCGGGCAGCACGACTGCGTGGCCCGGCGAAAACCCACGGGGATATCTGGGAGGAGGGGGCCCCTCATGAATGCGATGGCACAAGACCCCGCAGAAATTCAACAGAAGATCTGACGGAAATCCCGGTGAACATCAGGACTCAATTACGAAGAAAATATGGGGGGGGGGCTGGGCCAATGACTGTCCTCAATCAGACGAGAAGGAATTCCCAAATGAAGATCAAGGGTGAGCGCAATGACAAGAACAACATCAGCGGCCTGCTGGTAGCTGTGGATCTTCACGCCGCCGCAAAGGATCTGCTGTAGAAGCCGGCCAGGACCCGGGTAGGCCCCCGGCGTGATGAGCGGATACAACGGCGCCACGGCCATGATGATCTCCAAATCGCTAGTGATCCAATCAGCCTTTGCGGCGGTGGCGGCAGGCTCTCCAGCATCCAGCGCCTCCGCCGCCACGCGGGCGATGTCTGCCCGCGTGCGGGGCGGGGCCCAAAGGCAAATGCTGCCCGGCGCGACAGCGCCGGCAGCTGGCGGCGGCTCCACCTCCAGGAATCAATCCCGCCAACCGTTCAAGGCGTTATGCCATCTCTAAGGAGCCATCACCTCGCAGAGAAAGATCTAGAGAAGATCAGGCGGAAGATCTGAGGGGAGATCTGGGGGAAGATCTGGGAGAAGATCTGGGGGGAGATCTGGGGGAAGATTTGGGGGAAAATCAGGTGGAAGATCTGGAGGAAGATCTGAAGGAAGATCTGGAGGAAGATCTGGAGGAAGATTTGGAGGAAGATCCGGAGGGAGATCTGGAGGAAGATCTGGAGGAAGACCTGGAGGAAGACCTGGAGGAAAATCTGGAGGAATATCTGGAGGAAAATCTGAAGGAAGACATGGAAGAAGATTTGGAGGAAAATGTGGAGGAAAATCTGGAGGAAGATCTGGAAGAAGATCTGGAGAAAGATATGGAGGAAGATCTGGAGGAAGATCTGGAGGAAGAGTTGTGGAGGAAGATCTGGAAGAAGATATGGAGGAAGTTCTGGGGGGGGCCCTCCTTCTCCTCCTCCTCCCCCACCCCTTTCTCCTTCTCCTCCTCCTTTCCCGGAGGCCAAAAAGGCAACCCTTGTCTCCCCCCCCCCCCCCCTCTACGCGGAAGCCCCCCGAAAGCCAGCCGACGGTGTCTCAAGCGGCTCTCCGCGGCGCACTTGGTAATCCCCGAACGCGGTGGTGAGAACGTCTTGCGGTGAGTCTGGGGCGACGTGGAGGACGCATTAACTCTAGGATTCATTAACCAGAAGATTTATTAGCCAAGCATGGCCGCAGGGATTACTTTGGGAAAAAAGAAGAAAGTGATCTTTGGTGGGGGGATGAAAAGATTCCGATGCCGCTGAACCCCCGACCTCTCCCGGGGCGCACCTCCTGCTTTCTCGCGGAAGATCTGGAGGAAGATCTGGAGAAAGATTTGGAGGAGGATATGGAGGAATATCTGGGGGATGATCTGGAGGAAGATATGGACGAAGATCTGGAGGAAGATCTGGAGGAAGATTTGGGGGGAGATCTGGAGGAAGATCTGGGGGAGATCTGAAGGAAGATCTGGAGGAAAATCTGGAGAAGATCTGAAGGAAAATCTGGAGGAAGATCCGGAGAAAGATCTGGAGGAAGATCTGGAGGAAGATCTGGAGGAAAATCTGAAGGAAGATCTGGAGGAAGATATGGAGGAAGATCTGGGGGGAGATCTGGAGGAAGATCTGGAGGAAGAGTTCTGGAGGAAGATCAGGAGGAAGATCTTGGGAAAAGATCTGGGGGAAGATCTGGCGGTGAGACTGGAGGAAGTTCTGGAGGAAGATCTGGGGGAAGATGGGAGTGGATATGGGGGAAGATCTGAAACGACGATCTGGAAAAAAATATACTGACGAAGATCTGAAAGAAGATATTGGGATTCATGAGGAGGAAGATCCGGAGGAAGATCGGACGAAATGTGCGAAGATGTCGATGACAAACTGCGGGGAGATCTCAAGAAATATGATGGTAATACAGACGATGACGATGATGATGATGAGGGCTGTGCTGATGATGATGAGGATGCTGACCACGAGGATGACGATGACCACGATGACGATGAAGATGAGGATGGGCCCCCAGACCTTTCCCAGGGTCCAAACGTACTGTTTTTTCGGGGCCGCGTCCGGCCACGGCGACGAGGAACGCCGAACCCGAGGGCCAAGGAAGCATCGAACATCGATTCTCGAAGTGCGAGGCTCGAGCCTCGAACTTTTTGGAACGTCTCATCATCCTCGCCGTCGCCCTCGTCATCATCAACATCGTCGTCGCCGCCGCCAGTTTCTCGAGTTGCGTCCAACTGCAACGACAAAGAGGGCCCCCGACAACCAAAAAATCTAATCCTGATCCTGTGAGCTCGAGGTTCGGACCTCGACACCCCCTTGCGGGGAAGCCGCGTTTCTTCTTGGCGGGGAAGATCTGGGGAAAGATCTGGGCGGGGATCTGGCGGAAGATCTGGGGAAAAATGCGGCGGGAGATATGAGAAAATATCTTGGCGGAGATCTGAGGGGAGATATGGGAGGAGATTTCGGGGGAGATCTTGCTGAAAATCGAAAATGGAATCAAAAGAAAATCTGGAGGGCGGCATGGGGAGAGACACCCCCGAAAATCCCCCCCCCCAAAAAAAAAAAACATTTTGAGAACGGCCGGGGAAGGATCTGGAGGAAGATCTGGGGGGAGATCTAGGAAGGAGATCTGGGGGGGGATCTTGGAAGAAATCAGAGGGGGACCCCGGGGGGAACTTGGCGAAAATCTGGAGGTGGATCTGGGCGGGCATCTGGGGGAAGATCCGGGGGGGAATCTGGAAGGAGATCTGGGGGACATCTGAAGAAGATGGTACGACGCCCTCCTCCTTCTCCTCCTTCTCCTCCTCCTACTTTCTCGCTTCTTCTCGGCCTGGCTTAGAGGCTAGAGCGCCTGGGGCGGGCCGCTGGGCACCTTCCTCTCGGCCCTCGGCCTCCTCGCTCGCCTCCTGCGCGCCCCTCGCCCCGGCCTCTGCGGAAGCCGGCCTCCTCGCTCGCCTCCTGCGCGTCTTTCGCCCCGGCTTCTGCGGAAGCGCCCTCGCGGGCCGTCGCCGCGGCGCCCGCCGGCGCCGCGGTCGCCAGCGCGGCCGGGCCGCGCGCCCGGGCGACGACCACAATGAAATTCGCAACGCACGCCATCCGAGAGACCAGACCCACGCGCGCCCATCTGCCGATTCTCTCGACATCCTCGACGGGGAATTTCGCGATGTTGAAGCCCGTGCCGCGCCCGTTGAGCGTCGCCACGTGGGCGTCGACGACGAATGCGTCGGTCTCCGACACGAAGATCCCGAAGGCGTTTGCCCCGCTAAAACGGGCAGACGACGCCGAAGATGCCGAAGACGCCACCGGCGCGGCAACCGACGCGGCAAAGGGCCTGCGCTCGCAGGCCTCCTTCAGCGCTCCGATCAACCCAGCGGCCCTCAGGATTGTCTTCTCCCGCCATCACCCGTCCTGAAGGAACCGCCGACCTCTGCCTGCCGAGGTTTATGGGGAAGGTCTGGCGGAAGATCTGGCGGGAGATCTGGGGGGGGATCCAGCGAAAGATCTGGGAAAAGACTGGGGAAGATCTGGAGGAGGATCCGCGGCGACACCTGGGGGAACATTTGGGCGAAAATCTGAGAGACGACGAGGTGGAATATCCTCCAGAACATCCGAAGGGGACTCCAATGAAGTACGAGGAGGAAGATCTGGAAGAGGATCTGGGCAATCAGGGTGAATATCTGGACGCAAATCTTAAGGGCGATCTGATTTAAGATGTTGAGGAAGGTCTGAGTGGAGATCCACGCAAAGAGGAGGACGAATATCTGATGGAAAATCTGGGGGAAGATTTGAACGAACATCTGAACATCTGAAGGACGATGGTTGAAGATATTTAGCAAGATCTGGAAGAACATCCAGAGAACAGCGAGGAGGAATATATGGGGGAAAATCTGGGTGGAGATCATGAAGATGATATGAGAGAAAACTCGGGGAATATCCGCGTAAAGATTTAAACGTCATCTTGAGGAGCATAAGAAATGAGGAGGGAGGTCTAGAAGAACAGCTGGTCGAAGATATGGGGGGGGGGGGGGGATCTGGACGTGGACGAACGTCAAAAGTAACGCGAGGCGGAAGATCTGGCGAAGATCTTGACCATGATCTGGCGCAAGGTGTTGGTGAAGATAAGAGTTTCATTTGCAAGAAATCCAATGGGAAAATGTCGCAAATCCTCAGGGGGGCCTGGGAGAAGATCTCGGGAAATATCAGAATAGAATATCAAGAACCATATAACTAAATATATTGAGAAAGCTCTGGGCGAATATCAAGAAAAATATGAGGAGGATGATCGGAGGGAAGATCTGAGAGAAGATCTCGGGGCAGATCTGAGGGAAGATCTCTGAGCAGATCTGGGGGGAGATCTCTTGGGGCATGTCGGCGGCGTAGCGTCAACCTCGAAACCAAGTGAGTATCTTCCAGCATTAACGGCGACCCCCTGGCCCGATTTTCGCCGTCGAGCACGGGGAAAGCACAACCGCCAGCCCGGTCATCGTCATTGGAATCGAAGTCGTCGACGGCCTGGGCCAGGAGGCGCCTCCACTCTGCCTCCGGTTTCTGGAGAGCCGCCGCGCTCTCGCTCAAGAATGCGAACGTGAGCCGTGCCACGATTAAAGTGCAGGCCGACGTCCCCATGTCCGCGTGCCGATGTTCGGCGACGTCAAATTGTGAGAACGGGAACGATTGGATCGGAATGTCCGCCGCCGCGTCGCCATGCGCGAAATGGGGTGTCATCGGGCCCGTCTGCTTTCGATATCGAACGCGATGATAATTCAAGAAAGCCCAAAAAGCACCAGGGCATTCCGAGCAAGTTCCGACAAAGGCTCCAGAGCATCAAAAGCTCAAGGGATCATGAGAAAACCAACCATTGGAAAAACGGAAAGAGGATCCAAACCGTTCCTGTCAGAATGACCAGGGATACCCTCAAGAAGCCCCCGATCGACAACTTCAGAGGCGCTTAATAAGCCACGTGAGGAACACCCCCCAACGCCCTCAAGAGGCATCAAGCACACCGTCAACCCATGATCCAAGCACGGCGGCGGGATCATGGTGCCAGATCACCATGCGCCTCTCCAGCAAAACTAGTGGCAGAAATACCATCGCAGCAACCACCACCACGAGCGCAACCACTATCGCAACTAGCAGCGCCATCACCAGCAAAATCGTCACCAGCGAAACCACCATCAAAACGAGCAGCACAACCGACAGAACACAGACCAGCGCAACCACCAACAGAGCCACCAGCATAACCATCATATCTTCTTCCAGATCTTCCTCCAGATCTTCCTCCCAGATCTTCACCAGATCTTCCCTCCAGATCTTCCTCCCAGATATTCACCCAGATATTCACCCAGATCTTACTCCCAGATCTTCCTCCATCATATCTTGTTCCAGATATTCCCCCCCCCCATATCTTCACCCAGATCTTCTCCCTGGATTCAACCGGATCTTCATCCAGATCTTCCCCCAGGTCTTCCTCCAGATCTTCCTCCTGATCTTCCTCCAGATCTTCCTCCAGATCTTCCTCCAGATCTTCTTCCGGATCTTCCTCCAGATCTTCCTCGAGATCTTCCTCCACATCTTCCTCCAGATCTTCGTCCAGATCTTCCTCCAGATGTTCATCCAAATCTTCCCCCAGGTCTTCCTCCAGATCTTCCTCCAAATCTTCCTCCAGATCTTCCACCAGATCTTCCTCCAGATCTTCCTCCGGATCTTCCCCCAGATCATCCTCGAGATCTTCCTCCACATCTTCCTCCAGATCTTCCTCCAGATCTTCCTCCAGATCTTCCTCCAGATCTTCCTCCAGATCTTCCCCCAGATCTTCCTCCAGATCTCCCTCCAGATCTTCCTCGAGATCTTCCTCCAGATTTTCCTCCACATCTTCCCCCAGATTTTCCTCCAGATCTTCCTTCAGATCTTCCTCCAAGTCTTCCTCGAGATCTTCCTCGAGATCTTCCTCCAGATTTTCCTCCAGATCTTCCTCCAGCTTGCATGATATTTCTTTAGATCTCCCCGCAGATCCTCATCAATATCTTCACAGATCTCGTCCGATATTCCTCAAGATCTTCCTTCTCATGAATCCGAATAGTTTCTTTCAGATCTTCCTCAATATCTTTTCCCAGATCGTCGTCTCAGATCTTCTCCCATATCCACTCCCATTTTCCTCCAGATCTTCCTCTGGATCTTCCTCCAAATCATCCTCCAGATTTTCCTCCAGATATTCCTCCAGATATTCCTCCAGATCTTCCTCCAGATTTTCCTCCAGATCTGTTCCTCCAGATCTTCCTCAAGATTTTCCTCCAGATCTTCCTCCAGATCTTCCTCCAGATCTTCCTCCAGATTTTCCTCCAGATCTTCCTCCTGATCTTTTTCCAGATCTTCCTCCAGATGTTCCTCCAGATCTTCATCGAGATCTTCCTCCGGATCTTCCTCTAGATCTTCCTCCAGATCTTCCCCCAGATCTTCCTCCAGATCTTCCTCCAGATCTTCATCGAGATCTTCCTCCAGATCTTCCACCAGATCTCCCTCCAGATTTTCTTCCAGATCTTCCTCCAGATCTTCCTCCAGATCTTCTTCCGGATCTTCCTCCAGATCTTCCTCCACGGGTTCCTCGAGATGTTCCTCCAGATCTTCCTCCAGATTTCCCTCCAGATTTTCCTCCAGATCTTCCTCCAAATCTTCATCGAGATCTTCCTCTAGCTTGTTCCCCGTGTGTTCATCCAAATACTCCCCCAGATCTCCCTCCATATGTTCCTGCATATATTTCTCCACATATTCCTCCACATCTTCCCCCAGATCTTCTTACAGATTTCCATATATCGCCTCCCGGATTTTGCTCTGGTTGTTCCCCCGGATATTCCCCCAGATCACCACCCAGATCCTCGCCCAGATCTTGACGTAATCCTGTATGTTGTTTGCTGCAGAGGCTCTGGCGCCGCAATCGGCACAATCACCGGCACAATCTTCATCGGAACCACCCACATTGGCGTCGCGCTGCGCTTAGAAATTGCACGCTTCAAAGCTGGCTCTCGCAAGGGGGCCAAGAAATTCAGCGAAGCTGGGTCTCAATTTCTTACTGGAAGATTTCTTGGCACAAGTTTCGAGTGCATGTTTGAACTATTTTCTGGGGTATTGTTTTTTTTTCGTCGAGAATCCCCCTGTAGGGGGACAGGTCCGACTTAAGGCTGAGCCGTTCATCGTCCGATGGATTGGATTTGAGCGTCTGGTGAAGACGAGGGCCCTCACCCCGGGGGCCCACCCCGCGGGGGCTGCGCCGCGCCCGGGCAAGAGGCGGCGACGGCACGGCCACGCTGCGTCGTGCAGTCCTGCACCGCACCCTGTGGCCTCCAGTAAATGGACGATATGTTCGAACCCTTACACATTCGAGGGAGATTCTAAATCACCCCCGCGCCCCCGACATCAGTGTTGATCTCAGAAGAGGCGGTGCTTTGGGGGTCCTTCCTTCCCCGCTTTCAGTCGGGGGGGGGGACGGCCCAGCGGGCCCCGGGGGGTGGAGCCTCGACATCGCTGGTGCCGCCCCAGGGGGTTGGGCGCCACAGGGCAGCCCGTCGCCGAGGGGCCCAATGGTGGAGCCAGCCCTGGGTTGCGCAGGAAAGACATCCCTGAAAAAGTGTATGCTCATCCAGCGGACTCTTGCCTCGATCTGACATTCCGGCAGCTCTCTGGGCACAGGTGGCTCCGGAGGCTGGCTCCTCCAGCATCCATCCCCATGGGGGAGAGGGCTGCCCCTCCCACCACCTTCTCGCCTGCCTGCGGAGTGGATGTGGCTGGCATTTTGCGGTGCGGCAGCCGCCCCGAGAAGGACGAAGCAGGTGTGAAAACACATCTTTGGGAGGGCCTCGGGAATCGATGGTTCGGGGGACCTCTGGGAACGTTCGGGGGGGCTCTGCTGGGCCCATCTTGAGGCCATGCTGGGGCTCTGTTTGGGCCTTTGGGGGGCTCTGTTGGAGCTTCTGGTAGCCTGCGGGGGCCCTCCTGGGGCCGTCTTGCGACCAGCGTGGCACCAGGTACAGGTGGTCCCGCTGGCCATACGCAATTTACAACTCTCCTGGGGCCCCCTTGGGGCCCTCTTGGGGCGCTTCGGGGGTCCTCGTAGGGGCATCCAGGCCAGTATTGTGCCCTTCCTGGGTCCGTATGGGGCCTCTCTTGAGTGATCCTTGGGTGACACTAAGCCCTTACGAGACGATCGGATAGCCGCAAGCGATACGGCCACATCCCCGGGAAAACATCAACTGTTTTACGTGCCTGCCTTTCGGGGCCATCCGCTCAGGGACATCTTGCCTCGCCGCGGTACCGCCTGAGAACGCACTCATTCCGCGAGCCCAGTTCCACATGCACACCGTGCAGAATGGACACGAACATGGGCAGCGCGCTCGTAAAGACCCTCAAAAAGGCTTCACCTTGTTCATCTCTTCCTCGGCCGCAACGATGACCTGCGAGTCCTGGATGCTGCGCGGCGCTGCCTCCAGCACCTTCGCTGGCCGCTCGTCCGAGGCCTGAAGGCGCAGCGGAAACGCATTGGACATCACATCTTCGGACACCCGAGGACTCTGGGTACGGATAAGAGGTGCCCACCTCTTTTTCCTCCTCCTCCTCCTCCTCCTCATCATCATCATTATCAGCATCATCATCGTCATCGTCATCGTCATCGTCATCGTCATCATCACCATCATCATCATCATCATCATCATCATCATCATCAACATCATCATCATTATCCTCATCCTCATCCTCATCCTCCTCACCTATCGAGCCCCCTCCTCCTTCTCCTCCTCCTCCTCCTCTTCTTCCTCCTCAAAACCCAGGGCCCTCCTCCTCCTCCTCATCATCATCATCCTCCTCCTCACCTATCGAGCCCCCTCGGATACCTATACAAGTGGCGGGCCTCTTTCAAATCGTCTGGGTACGGCCTTCTCCGAGCAGCGAGCGCGTGATAACGGCACTCCGTGGCACCGGGGAGAGAGATGTCCGCACGTCTCAGCGGGTCGTGAGAGAGGCACCCATCACGTATCAGCATCATCTTCTGGCCAATGTGACTTGAGGTCCTGGTGCCACGTGCCCCGGGTCGCGGCCCTCTGGAGCATAGGGAAGGAGGCTCTTGCGTGTGACGGCCTGTTGGGACCTGACAGGATAGCGGTCGCGTGGCACGTTCCTCACACCTGGAGTCTGGAGAATGAATCACATAGTGCGGCTTTCCAGTCCCAGGAACGAATTACCCGAACTGAGGGAGCGAGGTGGCCCATGTTGCAGCCCTCTGGGATCGTGACATGTTCTTCATGTTGCGAACGGCGAACGTGTGCATCCTCCCGAGAAGCAACTACCACATATTACCACCACTACTGGACACGTGAAAGAGGTATTACATGCTACGGCCACATGGAGCTTAATAAAGACGTCCATCTGGAGCCTGGACGCATTCGATGGCACATGATCAGGCGCCCCGGGCCCTGGGGAAAACAACTTGTGGCATGCTGTGCCCTTCCCCGAGCCAGGGAAGCGAGCTGCAAACACGAATGGGGAACACAAGAGCCACGTGCAACGGCCCAGCGGTGCCTCAGGGACGAAGGTGCCTCTTGCTACGGCCCTCTGGCTTAACGGAGGCAGTTATGACAGCACGGCGTGCTCAGAAGGGGAAAAAGAACACGCCTCTTAACATTGCAACATTATCGATCCTGCGGGGGCTGCCACGTGCCACCGCCGTGCGGGCTCTGGAAAGCACACACGTCGGCATGCGATACCCATCTGGACCCCACAAAAGAAGGGGGGCACCGATTACGGAACTCCAGGTCGGGGGCAGGCTGTTACGGCCTTCTCCCGACTGGGAGGGCGAGCTGTTACATGGCATGGTCGCCCCTGGAACGCGATAAATAGAAGCATCCGGCAAACTATGGGACGCGAGGTGTCACATGTTACTGCCGTCTGGGAACTTGGAGAGGGAGATGCCACATGACACTGAAATATCAGGTTTCCACTCTGTGTTCGGAGGGAGACACCAAGTACACACACTATTACCGCGCCAAAGGGAACAAGTCTCGCGCAGTCACCACTCTTAGAGCCACAGGCGAGAGCTGACACATGTTACGCTGCTCTGGCAAACTCCTCTGGGCCTGCGAAGACACCAGTGCCATGTGGCGGCCTCATCCCAAAAGAGAAAGCGAGCTGTCATTCATTGAATGCTTAAAGTAAACGTACTGTCGAATGTTGCAGATTCCCGCGGGCTGTGGCGTGCTGCGGCCTTCTCCGAACTGGGTAAGCGAGCGGCCACGTGGTTACAACCATTGTCTGGGCCGCGAATGCAAGGGCGCTTTCAGTCGCATAAACAGAGACACTTCTAGCGGTCTCTTCTGTGCGTGGCGCTCTGGGCGCGCGGAACTAGCGATGTGTCACATGTGACGGCCTTATCAAGACCATTCCAACGGGGGGAAGCGAGATATCCACCTGTACGGCCCTGTGCCGTGATGGAAGCAGCTGCCACATTTCGATATTACCAGGGACAGGGGTGTCTCGTGCTACTGGCCTGTGAAGCCCAGGGAAAAGGTGTCACACGTGACTGCCCTCTGGGCTGCTAAGCAGACAACCACACACGTCATGTTACGCCCTCCGAGGGTCCAGAAGAAATAGCGGTGTCGCATGCCACGGCTCTTGGCCCTGGGGGCACAAGTGGCGGATGTTATGGCCGTCTCCGAGCAAAAAGAACGAGCTGCCAACTCATACGCTTATCGAAACTTTCTGGCATGACATCATCTTACCCCACCAGGCGACACGATGTATCGAATGGTGCTGCACCGCTGGGGTTCCGGGAGACAGCTGTCACACGTTACGGCGCTGGGTGCGGGGCCGCCGGGCCCCGGGAGCCCCTCTGGGAGAGGACAACGACAACGCTAGCGCAGCGACCGTTCCCTGAGTCGGGCAGCAGACTATGGATTGCAAGGTCGGGCACGTAGCCCTCGAGCGGGCTGCAGCTTCAGCAGATGGGGGATGCATCGGGACAGACGCAGTCGTTCCACCAAACCGCTCATCGGCGCTCGGTCAGACCGATCTTGACCATAAGCTCCACCGCGTTCATGCAGGCGGTTAGACTAATGCCCCACCCCCCCGAGTCCATCACGAGGCTTCTCTCAGACACTGACGCGCCCTTCCCAGCACTGCCTCTCGTGCTCCCTTTGCTTCCCGCAGATGGCCTGCGCCGCAGCAGGCTCTGCTGGCGAAGAGCACGGCAAAGAACATCTGCTCATGGCGGGGAACTTCTCGTGAAGCACCCTCTGGAAATCCTGCGGCCACGGGTCTGTGAGCGCGGCAAACACGTTCGTTGGATCCACATTCTCTGCTCCTGACACAACAGATCACAAGCTGTGTGGCGCGGAAGCTGTCATGGAGGGTGGGGGAGAAAACCACGGGGTAAACAGGAGAGGGGAATGAGGAACATCAACTACCAGGGGCAGGGGGGCGGGAGAATGAGGTCGACGAGGGAGAGGAGAAAGATGAGGAACAGGAGTAGGAGCACGTAGGAAGACGACAGGTGAGGAGGAAAACGAGGAGAGAAAACATGGAGAGTACGATGGGCATGGAGGTGAGCGCCATGAGGCGCACCTACGTGAAAGGCAACAGAAGGACGACAAACATACGTGACGCGTCGCCTGCCCTTCACCACTGGGGTTGGCATCGCCATCTTATCTCCTGGCGCGACTACGTCGCTACCTGTAGAAGTGCAGGGTGAAGCGAATGAGGAGCAGCAGCAGGAGCAGGAGAAGCAGGAATAGGAGCAGGAGCAGGAACAGCAGGAGGAATTGCCAGGTAGTTGGAGGATGACAAACTCTGGATTAGGGGTTGGGGGTCAGGAGACGGAGTGCGACCAGGACTAGGAGCAAGAGCAGGGAGCGGGAGTGGGAGTGGCAAGAAGGCGTTTTTTTTACTTTTCGCGATAGCGGCCGCCACTGGGCCCGGCCGCCCCCCTCCCCACCCAAGTCATGTCACGATTCCTGCCGACTTCCGCGTTGCTACTACTCATTCCTAAAGATTCCCAGGCGGCGCCGGCGCGAAAAGTGGCGTACCGGCCCCCCGCCCTCCTCTCCCCCCCACCCCCCCCGGTAACGCCCGTTATCGCCGGGGAATAAAAAAAACGCTCTCCGCTAAGGGTTGGGACGATGTAGGAGTGGAAGCAGGAGTCAAGCTGGCTAGCTCGACAGAATCAGCGGGCCCCGCCCACTCCAACCATCCCCACAGTACCACAAGAAGCAGTGCTGGCACAGTTGGAAGCTGGGACTGGCGCGTGCTCCTGCCGAGCGAACGGAAGGCGCTTGCGCGTGCGCAGCCTCGCCCCCGACAGCTTGGCGAAGGCAAGGCCACGCCGCGCCCAGGCTGGAGCGCAACTTGCAGGGAGAAGCCTGGGCCCCGAGGCGAAGCCTGCACTGCGATCGCTGGCGCGAAGCCCGCCTTCGATCCTTGGACGAAAGTCTAGCAATTTCCCCCGGAGGGAGGGGAGCGGAGAACAACCGCGAGGCTCCAATGGTGCTGCCACGAGTCCGCTGCCGCTTGCTGTACGTGCCAGCCTGGGCCAGGTTCGCCTCCTCCTCATCCGCCTCCTCCTCCTCCTCCTCCTCCTCCTCCTCCTCCTCCGAATCCTCCTCGTAATCCTCCTCCACCTCCTGCGTCTCCTGCTTCTCCTCCACATCCTTCTCCTCCTCCTCATCATCCCCCTCCTCCTCCTGGCACGTTGCACCTCATGCTGTCGGTACTGACAAGCGGCGCTGCCATCCCCCCTCTCCCCCCCCCCTCCTCCTCGTCCTTCTCCTCCTCCTCCTCCTCCTCCTTTCCTCCTCCTCCTCCTTAACCTCCTCCTCCTCCTCCCCTCCTCCTCCTGCCTCCTGCCTCCTACCTCCTCTTCCCTCCTCCTCCTCCTGCCTACAACCCCCCCCCTCCTCCTGCCTCCTACCTCCTCTTCCCTCCTCCTCCTCTTGCCTACCTCCCCCCTCCTCCCCCTCCTCTTCTGCTTCTCATGCTTCTCCTCCTCCTCCTCCTCTCAGTGGTCGCAGGGCGCCGGTCCTCGAAGGTCGAGTCCCCGCTGAGGCCAGGGTACCAGTCGGCGTGCTTCTTGATCCCGTGCTCCATGGCCCAGACCTGGGCAAGTGCCGGGTGCGGGGGAACCTGGTGGGGACCCTGAGATCCCGGTGTTGCCAATTGTTTTGCTCACACCGCCCGTTTTCCTGTAGAGGGACCTGCCCGACTTCACTCCACAACGCCCCTGGGATGCCCCTCTCGCCCCTGGCGACGCGAGGGCGACGGCCTCCCCCATGGCTAACCCCCCCGGGGGCCGCGCATTGGCCGGGGAGGCCGAGAGGGGGCCAAAGACGGGGGCCAAAGAAAAGTGCCGGGTGCGGGGGAACCTGGTGGGGACCCTGAGATCCCGGTGTTGCCAATTGTTGTGCTCACACCGCGCGTTTTCGCCCGTGTTCGGGGCCCGGGACCATCACGTGGGACCATCACGTATGGATCCAGCTCGACACATGATGCAGAGAGATGAGGTCTAGGGCTCGGGGGCTCGGGTCATGATTTCCATGATGTTGCACTTGTTTCGCAGCGTCGGATCTCACGGGAGGGGCGGGGGTGGAGGTGCGAGGTTTGAGGATCGAGCTTGGGCTTCTGCTCACCCCTCTTCGCCGCGTCCTCCCCACGGCTAGGTCCGCCCTGAAATCCTGGCCAGAGCGTGCCCCAGAGCAGGTCTGGGGATCGGCTCTTGGCCCCCAGGCATGAGAGACCTCCGAATTGGGGTCCGAGTAGATGGGGTCGGAGGATTGCGCCGCATCGCCAATGCATCGTCAATGTATCGGGGATGCAGCGGCAACATCGGCAATGAATCGGCGACGTCGGCGTGGAGGAAATCGGGCTACACATCGCGCCGCGTCGCCGATGCATCGCCGCCAGCGCGCGATCCCCCCGACCCAATCTACTCGGACCCCCTCTGGGAGGCCCAGAGGCACCTCCTCGAGGGGGATGGGGCCTTTGGGGAGCCGAGGCGGCAGGCAGGCGCGGCAGAGGGGCCACGGCGGGCTGGGGGAAAGCGTGGACCCCCCAGGGTCCCAGCCTCTTCCCCTGGAACCGAGGCGCCTGAATCAAACACTGCTTTTCCCCAGATCCCGGGTTCCCGATTCCAGGCTTCCCGGCAGTGGAAGGTTGGTCGGGTTCCCGGTTTCCTGGTTCCGAGCTCCCGATCCCAGGGTCCCCGGCGGAGGGCTTGGTGGGTTTCCAGCTTCCTGGCCCCCGTTTCTGAATTCTTGGCAGCTCAAGGTGTTCGGGTTCTGGACGTCTTGGTTGTGGCCAACCGGCGCTGTTCTTAATACCGACCACCGTATGGGAACGGTCTGGTTGCCACGTTTTGCCGAGGACGTTGGAAAAATCGGCCATCGGCATTCCTCACGCTGCGTCCTGATGGGAGCGGTCGACAAACGGGCCATCACGTCCGTCGTCATGCCTGCACACAGCGCCAGCGTTGGTACCTCCACGCCGCCCCCCGTCATGAGCTCCGTGAGTCGGATACAATCGGACTTCATTGGACAGGACACGCGAGAGGACAAACGACCCTTCCGAGGGCCACACTGCCATAGGATTGCTGGAGGCAGGGGCCGCAGGGGCACCCCTGATCTGGCAGGGTCGACCTACCCATCCGGGCCGACTGTACCTCGTCTTGTCCGTGGTGGTCCATGTTCCCCCCGCGCCCTCCCCCAGTGCAATGCGGAGTGCAGGCCCTGCATCGCCGCTCGACGCGTCCAGCTTTGCATTTAATTTAGTGGGGGGACGGGAGAGGGGGGATGGAAGGGGAGGGAAGGGAGGGAGGAGGGGAAACGGAGGCGGGAGGGAGGGAAGGGACGGGGAGGGCGAGGAGGGGGAGGAAAGATCTGGCACCAACGGCAATGCTGGGGGATGGTGGGGAGGAGGAAGAGCAGGACGAGGAGGAGGAGGGGAAGGAGGCTGAGGAGAACGATCAGCAGGAGGAGGATCAGGAGGGTGAGGAGGATGAGGATAGGAGGGGGAGGGGGAGGATGAGGATGAGGAGGAGGAGGAGGTGGAAGCGAGTGAGGATGCTGGTGATATCCCGGGAGACGCGCGGGAAAGGACGAATGAGGAGGGGGCGGACGATTAGGATCAGGAGAGACAGGAGGATGACGAAGATTAATGGGGATGTCGGTGAGGATGCGGATGCTAACGAATCCAACTACGATATGGGGCATCCATTTTGGATTGCCCTTGGATAGTGCTGCTGCTGCTGCTGATCATGGTGATGACCATCACCATGACGATGGCATTTATGTTGGTGATGGTGGAGAGAGTGAGGATGAGGATGAGGATGAACAGCAGGAGTAGGTCGAGGATGAGTACGAGGATGAGGACGAATATGAGAATGTGGATGAGGATGCGGATGAGGATGCGGATGAGGATGATGCTGATGCCGATGATGATGCCGATGCCGATGCCGATGCCGATGCCGATGCCGATGCCGATGATGATGATGGTGATGATGATGATGATGATGATGATGATGATGCTGATGATGATGATGATGATGATGATGATGATGATGATGATGATGATGATGATGATGATGATGATGATGATGATGCAGATGCTGCAGAGGATTACGAACATGACTACAATGGTGGGGCATCCATGTTTTGGTGCCCCTGGATAGTGATGCTGATGGTGATCATGATGATGACCATCACCATGACGATGGCCATCCTGATGATGATGGTGATGAGGATGAGCAGGAGGAAGATGATGAGGGTGAGGATGAAGATCAGGAGGAGGAGGAGGACGAGGAGGACGATCGAGGGGGGGATGGAGGACGGACGAGGGAGGCAGGAAAAGAGGAGGCGGAAGAGGGAAGAAGACAATGGAGCGCGAAGGAATGCTGAATGTTGGCACGCCACCGTCCCTCTCCAGGGAGTGCGGGGCAATGCGTTGATTCTGCATGCGGTCTGAGGGGTGCGTTCCACATAAGACACAGTGAGGGGTGAACTTCAATTTGCTTGTTTTTATTGGCAATGTTCTTCCCAGTGCGTTGCCCCAGGTGTGCGGGTAATCATCCCTGTGGTGGTCATCGCCGCTGCGATTCTGCTACCACATCTGTGCGTAGGGCGGCCCCAAGAAAATGCTGAATTCAGATTGTGCCGAATGACAACAAAAGGATGCAAACATCCGCAAAGACAGTAAACATTTGAATGCGCCCCGCTACACATCCGATTACAAATCTGTGTGTAGGGCGGCCCCAAGGCCATGCTGAATTCAGCTTGTGCCGAATGCCAACAGCATCAGATAATGCAAACATCCGAATACGCCCCGCTACACATCCGATTGCAAACAGCATCAGAGTATGTGTGTTGACCAGCTGGTTGAGTGTGCTTCAGAACTCTGCTGGCGCAACACATCTAGAACCCAAGCAGCATCAAAGGATGCATGTGTTGACTGGCTGGTTGAGTGCTTCAGCGGCCCGCTTCCGCAGGACACCTAGAATGCAAGCAACATAAGAAAATGTCTGTGTTGACTGGCCGGTTGAGTACTCCAGCGGCCCGCTATCGCAAAACATCTGTCAGACTGTGGACTGGGCTATCTCATGAATCATGTCAACGACGGTGATTTCCAACAACACCGGAAGCGCCTGGGTCTTTTCATCGCACAGTACAACAAAAGTGGTCAGAGGGTTGAGAGCAGAGTTGACCAGAGGGCTTGGATATATGTATATATATATATATATATTATAATTATTCTTATAATAATAATAATAATCATAGCAATAATAATAATATTAATAATAATAATAAAATATAGAATGAGAGTGTGTGCGACAACTGCCTTATATAAGATTGTGACATGAATAGTGGAGGTCAGAGTGATAGGGTACATAGAACAGTTCTCAGATAGCATCGGGCGAAAGTGGGCATAGTGAGAAAGAAGGCTGGTATTCATACATATATATATGTTTACTTATATGTGTATATATGTGCTAATACATACATACGGGAGGAGAGAGAGTAAAAGGGAGGGAGGGAGGGAGGGAGAGAGAGAGAGAGACAAACAAAAAAAGAAAGAGAGAGAGGCACACACACAAAAACCCTGAAAACATATATGCGTGTGTGCGATCGCATATAGTTGAGAGTTGATGTGAAACCATGGGATGCAGAACGATGTGCGAAGCCAAATAAAATAAAGTGAGACGGCATGTAAAAGAGATACAACTAAGAGAGAGAGGAGCAACAAACAAATAAGTACATACATATATAACAAATCAAGAAAACAAGGAGTGAGCAGGTTTGGAATGCAGGCCAAATTCAAAAAACAACGAATATTTGGAATTCTGTTTTGATCTACTGTTCTTTCCGGCGATGGCCAAGGTTACCCCGTGGGGTGGGGCGGGAGGTGCTGGCCGATGACCCAATCTTCTCGTTTTGCGCAGCACCACTTATGCCCACGCGCACCCGCACTGCGTACGTGCCCCCCTCGAACCTGCGGAACCGACAAAGTCAGGCTGTCCGGGGTGGAGGAGGGGGGGCGGGTGGGCGGGACCGATGACCCGGGTGATCACCGGACTTTGTGAAAACAGTCCCGGACTACGGTCGGGAGCTGTCGCAGGGGGCCCAAAAATATACGCCACCACCTCCCTCCCTCCCTCCCCTCCCTCTCGCGTGCCGCGGCTGCGGCCCCGGCGGCACGCCGTGCCCTGCAGGCGGGTGGCGTGCCGCTCCGCTCCGCGGAGCGGGCGGCCCGGATCAGAGCTCGGGACGTGGGCGCTCCAAAACTGGGGACGTGGACTGAATGGGGCCCTGGGACACACAAATAACTCCACACAAATAGCAGGATTCCCCATGTTTTCCGATATGTTCTGGGCGTTTGTCTTCCCTTCACTTCCCAGATTTCCCCATATGTTCTGGGAGCCCACGATGAATTGTGTCTGTGTGTTTTTTTCCCTCCTGATGGACGGCGTGTCGAGCGGAAGCGTGACACGCTGATCATTTCCCAGTCCCCAGGCGTGATTCCTTCGCTTCTGTGCACAACCGCTGCACCTGAGAATGCACACCGAGTGAATCTAGAATCTAGGTCCCTGGATCATCACCGGGGCCCGGAGGGGCCCAAGGAGGCGCAAAATTGTCGAATACTTCCCGTCGCGATCTTTTCGCGGGGCGAGGGGCTTCTTGGGGTGGAGGAGGAAGAGAGGGAGAGGGGGTTGCTGCTCGGTTGCCAACTCGCCCCCACCCCATGTCCGTCTGGAGGCCCCCAAGACGGCTTATGAAGGCGTCTGGCGGGCCAGGAACGCCCTAAGACGGCCAAAGAGGCTCCGAGGAAAACCCCAAAGGCCCTCAAGAGGGCCGGGGAGGCCCCCAAGAGGCCCCTGGAAGCTCTCAGGAAGCTCCAAGAGTGCCCCAGGACCTCCCAAGACTCCTCCTCTTCCTCCTCCTCCTCCTCCTCCTCCTCCTCCTCCTCCTCCTTCTACCTCTCCTGATCCTCCCCCTCATCATCCCCCATAATGCTCCCCGAAGAGCTCCAGAGCGGCTGGGGGGGTCGGATAGCTTGGCCAAGCTGGGGCCCAACCATTGGCCACAGAGGCGCTTCCCAAAAGGCAGCGGGTGGCGGTGATTCGCCGTAGACATCCTCGATAATAAAGCTGCCCACTTCCAGCACTACTCCTGACAACTGCTCCCCAACGTCCACCGCCACTGCCTCATCCACGCCCACGGCTCTTCCACTAATGGAAAAGGCCCCCATGTCTGCGCCCTGTCCTGCTAATCGGGTTGAGGAGGACTTTACTCCTCCAGTTTAAAGCCCCAAGCAAGACCACACTCAAGTAGCAGTCATCCCCCTTCACGGACGTCTTACAGCTGCTGCCGGCATCGCTGATGGCGGTTGTGGTCCTGCTGCTGCTGCTGCTGCTGCTGCTGCTGCTGCTGCCGTTGGTGCTGCTGCTGCTGGTGCTGCTGCTGGTGCTGCTGCTGATGCTACTTGTGCTCCTGGGGCTTCTGCTGGTCGTAATGCTGGTGAGGCTAGTGCCAGCCCTGGTGGAAGCACCTTTGCCGGTGTTGCCGACGGTGGTGGTGCTGCTGCGGCATGGTGCTGGGCACATCTGGCGCTCATCGTGCAAGAATTGCTGAAAGTCGTCGAAACTGGAGTCTCCTCAGCGGATCAAGCAATGCACGTGAGGAGTGAGAAGGCATGGGGTCGGCGTGGATGAGCATGCATTGCGCAAGGGGGCGCTATCATGGACAGGTTGGAGGGAGCAGCAGGTGGGTGCGCACATCAAACATACCTGGCATGAGGTTACATACGCCAAAATCACAGCCGAGCCACAGAGAGGAGCGTTTGCACAGCTCCCCGAGAAGGAGGCGTGAACATGTTAGTATGACAAGGTGCTCGCTGTCAAAACAAAACAGCACTCACTGGCAAGAGGCAACGTTCTGCCCCTCCTCGCCCGCACTCGCGCCACGCTCCCACGCCCGCGCGATCTTGCCCTCCCCCCCCCGCAGAGGTCTCCCCCCCGAGCCGAGTCGCCCGCGCCCCCACGCACGGCTGAGGGCGGAGGCGCGGTGCGCGCGGGGGCGGGCGGTGACTCTCTCAAGAGACGCTGCACATCGATTCGGTGGTGGGCCATCCCGCCCCCTCGGCGGCGCGCACATCGGGTAGTATGGGGGAGGGGGGAAGGCTTCTTGGGAGGAGGCGGCTTCTCGGAGGGCGCCGGCCCTACGTCCATGCAGAAGGCCCGCGCCTTCTGGGAGGCCAGGGGTGCTTCTAAGGAGCCTTCCCCCCTCCCCCCGCCCCCCGCTGTGCGTGGCCGGCCCCCGCCCGTCGCCCGCCTCGGGCCTCCCTGCGCCCGCGCCGTCGGGGGCGGCGGCACGGCCCCCACGAGGACCAGCGGCCGTGGCGCGCACGGGGGGCAACGCGAGGGCGCGGGAGCGGGCCGCGGGGGGGGGGGCCCCGGGGGGGCGCGCGGGGCGAAGCGGCGCGCTGGGCACGACGGCCGCAGGACTGCGCCCTCGCGGCGATGCGGATGGCGCTTCAGATGGCGATCGGCAGTGATGGCGTGGCCCGAATGCCAGAACCTTACGCCGTCTTTGCGGCCCGTCGCGGGCTCCGAACTGGCCCGAGGAAGCCGACGGCTCTATGGCATCTGCGGCCACCGCGCCACCGCTTCGACCCCCTGGGCTGCGCAGAGTCCTCGATGCTGCCTCGGAGGGGGTGCCGCATGCATCGGGCGGTGGTCCTTATCTGAACGCACTTGGGGCATCCTGGGTGCGAAACGCCTCCTCCTCCTCCTCCTCCTCCTCCTCCTCCTCCTCCTCCTCCTCCTCTTGGCCCGTCTCCAGGCAAGGCAATCCTTCACCGCCCGCCTCTTGACACTCACCGAAGCGCTGCAAGGCGCGATACGGCTCTGTGCGTGGGCACTCGCCGCCCCGTGTGCCATGCGCTGGCGCGCAACCCAAAATGCGTCCAGCACCGCGTCTCGCCTCCCGCGGTGGGTGCGCTCCCTGTCGTGCCATCCGCGGGAACCTCCATGGACGTTGGGCCCCACATCCGCGAGGGGCGAGGCGCTCCCGGGGCAGGGGTCTTCACCCCGATCCTCCTCCTCCTCCTCCTCCTCCTCCTCCTCCTCCTCCTCCTCCTCCTCCTCCTCCTCCTCCTCCTCCTCCTCCTCCTCCTCCTCCTCCTCCTCCTCCTCCCTCCTCCTCCTCCTTCCTCCTCCTCCTCCTCCTCCTCCTCCTCCTCCTCCTCCTCCTCCTCCTCCTCCTCCTCCTCCTCCTCCTCCTCCCCCCCTGTCCCGGCGGAGCCGTTTTCCGGCGGCTGTTCATCCTGTCCGATCTCCGGCAGTAGCAAAAGAGGCCCCGAAGCAGCCGGCGAGCCGCATGCACTGTTGGGGGACTCTTTGCCCTGTCGTGTTCTGGCCCTGCCGGAGCGGCGCCGCGATCCACGATCCCGCCGGGATGAGGAGAATCCTGGAGGTCTCTCGCGCTGCACCTCGAGACTCAACGTACACCGGATCCACGTCGGCTGTAACGTCGGGCTCCCGTCGGATTGCGTCGCATGCACGCCAGAAGCACGTCGCTTGTTCGCGTCAGGCTCACGCCGTAGCATCGCCGCGCGCACGCCGCCCCATTGTCTGACGGGGCGTGCGTGCGGACCACATGCAAAATTATATTGCGCGCCGCGCGCGGCCTCCACGATGTTTCCCTCGTAGCCGGAGCGCACACCTTAGCATCGCCGCGGGGCGCTCCAGCCCTGCACGGCAGGAGCATCGCCCCGACCACCCGACAGCGCTCCGCGCCCGCTCTGCCCCCCGCCACCTGGCCCCGCGGGGCGCCCGCTCTGCCCTCGCCCTCGGGCCGCGCCTCGGCCCAGACTCGCCTCGGGGGCTCAGCGACGGCGGCGGCCAGCCTGCACGCTGGACCCTCCACGCCGCACGCGGGTGCCAGGCCTCGGCGTCGGCGACCTCGGCGCGCCCCTGCGCCGGCTCCCCCCTGCGCCGCGCCAAGCTCCGGGATACTGCGCCGAGCTCCTGCCTCACCTCGTGCTCTGGCTCGCGTCGCAGGCAGGAGGTCGTGGCAGCGCACGCGCCCTGCCGCCCAGGCCGGCGCGCACCACCATCTGGCAGGTCACAGCCCTCGTGCAGTGCGGAGCTACAGTGACGATCTGCGGCGTCGCAGCACGGAGGGGATGCAGCCAGACAACAAAAACGGTAGCAACGGCTCCGATCCTAGACAGCCCGTGTTCTCGTCTGGGGGTCCTGCTCGGGGAACGCTAACCGACGCTTCCAAATCAGCCTGTTTCGGTCCGACGGAAGCCAAGCAAGCCCAGGACAGGAAAGTCTGCCCTGACCTTCGTCTCAGCAACACTCGTGGAAGCGTGCTCCCACCATCTGAAGGAATATCAGGCGGTTTCCGATCCAGGATCAATCGCTGCAAGACCTTTCGTCCCGTACCTTGCTGGTACTCTTGACGCCCATGCGGCAGACCTCGGCTGCTAGCCCTCAACGCCAAGACCGCCCCTCCAGCGACTGCTCCCAAACCTAGAGTCTACTGCAGATGGTTATTGAAACGGCTGCGCAGATGGCGATGGGCAAGAATGCCCTGAATAGAGTGGGCGGGTTCTGACAAGCTGCATGCTGGGAGCAAGGTGGGTAGACGACGGTCCGACTAGTCCAGGGTGCAGATTACCCTAACAAAACTCACAGGAAGCCGGGGGGAGGAATCCACATCACTCACAAGACTCGCCATCGTACAACTGCGTCGATCCGCTTTGCGCACGCTCAAGCCGCGAATGTGAACGAAGCCGTGAATGGCAAACATGAGCAGACCACTCGAAACGGGGACAGCCAGTTCGCTAATGAGAGACACACGGCACATCGGAACTCGAACCCTGCTGGATACGCAGGGGTGCCACGGGCGTCCTGTGAGAGTGACGCCCTCGCCCTCGTACCACTCGGGATGCTGCAAGATCCCGACGGTCATGGCCCAATCCACGGCCTGAGTGCCCGCAGCGCGCGCCCATCGCCGGCGCTCCTCCACACGGCCTCCAGCTCATGATCACTGCCCTGTGGTCGAAATGCACTCTACACCCACCCCGCCCGTGAAGTGGCAAAGACCGCCAACAGCCCAGGAACAGTGGAATGGGCAACTGCCAAAACATGAACTTTCGGAGGTCCGCGCGGATCCAAGAAATCTGCGTGGGCCTCAAAAAGTGTGTGTATGCAGTTTTTGTTCTGCTTCGGATGAAGGCGCAACGAAGAGTAACCTCTAATCCTGGAACGCGCCCCTCGTATGACGGCTGAGCACACCACATGCTGCAATTTCCCACATGATCACAAAAAGCCGCGGACTACGATCTCCCGAGATCACCCGCAGCCCAAGAGCTCCCGAGAGTAGTCGCAGGATTGATCCCGAAACCCAGGAACACAGTTGGGAACGCACCCATCCGGTACGGCCTAATGTAGCCACAGTATGGGCCAATACATCCCAGGCTGGCAACCGAAACCACCCAAGCTGGGCCAACTCGGCCCAGGATGGCCTCGAGGAGGAGGATTGATGGAAGACGAGAGGGAGCAGGAGAGGAGAAGGATGATGCGCAGACACAACGAATAGAAGTGTGGAAAAGATGCATAAGACGGGAATGAAGATGGATTCGAGTCAAGACAAGTTGTACGATTTTAGGTGGTACATAAAGATGTTGTGTATGTGCGTGTGCGTGTGCGTGTGCGTGTGCGTGTGCGTGTGCGCGTGCGCGTGCGCGTGTGTGTGTGTGTGTGGTGTGTGTGTGTGTGTGGTGTGTGTGGTGTGTTCGTGTGCGTGTGTGGGTGTGTGGGTGTGGGTGTGTGGGTGTGTGTGTGTGTGTGGTGTGTGGTGTGTGTGTGTGTGCGTGCGTGTCTCTGTCTGTGTAACCCTCTGCCTTCCTCGCGCCCTCCTCGCTCTAGCCCCCATGCCCTCCTCGTCGCTGGCCCCCCATCCACGCACCGGCGCAGCAGGGTGGGGCGGCTGAGGCCTCGTAGCACGGGTCCCCCTCGTCCACCGACCTGCAGCCCGCCCGCCCGCCGTCGCCGTCGCCGTCCTCCGCGCGGGGACGGGCGAGCGGTCCAGGAGCGACAGGCGAGCGGGAGGAACAAACGCAGGGACGAGGCTGCCGTCGCCGGCGGGCCGGCGACCCTGCAGGGGAGGTGGGCGGGCCGGTCGCGCACGGGCCATTCCGCGAAGGCTACCCGATGTGGAGCTGTGCCGACCTCGGGTGCAGCACGAAACGGTTGCACGAGAGGTCGCGCGGTCGTCACCATGCATGGGCGGGAGGAGGGAGGAGGGAGGACGGAGGCGGGACCCTGAGCTCTGGGCGCTGCAGTGTTTTTGTCACACGAGGCTCTCGCCCTGGCTTCTCGGGCGGCCGGGCCTATTCGCAGGTCGATCTCCGGCTCGGAACGCGCGGCAGAAGGATGGGGCCTGGAGATCCGGCTGTGATGTTTGACGGTGTGGCCTGCGTCCCGTGCGTCGGGACGGGGGAAGAAGGAAGGACCGAGGATGGGGAAGCGTGACGGGGGGTTGGGGATCCCAGCACCAAATGGTGGCAGCCCGCGCCGTGACCCTGGACTCCCAAGAGGCCTCACGGCACGGCCCGTCGCCGCGCCGCCTTGGGACCCCGGGGGGCCCGGTCGCCCGAGACGTCTTCGGAGAACGGCCCGAGACCCAAAACCGTGCGGTGGCCCCGAATCTTCGCTGACTCACCACATCGTGAGGTCACCACACCGTCTGGGGGAACGAACGAACGAACGAACGAACGAACGAACGAACGAACGAACGAACGACAACAACAACAACAACAACAACAACAACAACAACCAACAACAACCAACAACAACAACAACAACAACAACAACAACAACAACAACAACAACAACAACAACAATTATTTTAAGACTGTTCGCCTTTCTCTGCTCGAGTGTCCAATAACGCGTATTCCCCAAACCCTCGATACCCGCCCTCTTCGTCTTCGATCGAACCCCTTTTGGGGGGTATACCTTTCTTCCCTGCAGGCCGGGCCCCGGCAAGCGGCGGGGCGGCCGCGGACCGTCGGCCTGGCCAGCGGCAGCGCTGATCGGCGGGGCGGCCACGGACCGTCGACCCGACCCCAAGAGGGACGGACAGGGGACCGACCACGACGACGACGACGACCGACGACGTCGACGACGACGGCGACGACGACGACGACGACGACGACGACGACGAGCGAAAGCGAGAGCGAGAGAGGATGACAGCAGGGCCACGAAGGACACGAAGTAGGCCACGAAGGGCGACAGCGGGGACACGAAGGGAATCCGTATGGGGTCACGAAGAGCGCGAACGAGCGGGGGGCACGAAGGGCAGACAATGCGGGGCCACAGAAGGCAACGATGGGGCCACTGAGGGTAGCAACTGGGCCACGTAGGACAGTGAGGGGGCCACAAACGGCGACAGCGGGGCCACGAAGGCACGCACATGGGGCCACAACGGGCGCGAACGAGCGGGGGCCACGAAGTGCATACGTATGTTGGGCCGCGGAGGGCAAGGACGGGGCCACTGAGGGCAGCAACGGGGCCACGAAGGGCAGCGAGGGGGCCGCGAGGGGCGACAGCGGGGCCACGAAGGGCATGCATTTGGGGCCACCACGGGCGCGAACGAGCGGGGGCCACGAAGGGCATACATATATATGGGGCCACGAAGGGCAGCGAGGGGGCCACTGAGGACAGCAACGGGGCCACGAAGGGCAGCGAGGGGGCCACGAAGAGCTGCAACGGGGCCACGAAGGGCTGCAACGGGGCCACGAAGGGCAGCGAAAGGGCCACGAAGGGCTGCAACGGAGCACGAAACAAAGCGAGGGGGCCACGAAGGGCTGCAACGGGGCACGAAGGGCAGCGAGGAGGCCACCAGGGGCTGCAACGGGGCCACGAAACGAAGCGAGGGGGCCACGAAGGGCTGCAACGGGGCCACGAAACAAAGCGAGGGGGCCACGAAAGGCTGCAACGGGGCCACGAAGGGCAGCGAGATCATCCCGACTCCTAGGTCATCTGTGAGGGAATCCAAAGCGAGAGCGCGACTCCTGGGTGCCTGGGTGTCGGGAGCGCGGCGCTTAAGTAAATTGCAAAACAATTCCAACACAAGGGCGCTATTCGTCAGTGAATTGCACGCAAGTCTCTAGCGAAAGCGCGATTCCAGAGCGCCGGGAGAGCGATTCCTGAATAAATTGTAAGGAAGTCCCAAGCGAAAGCGCGATTCCTGAATAAAATGCGAGGACGTCTCGGGCGGGCGCGGGGGTCCTGGCTACATTGTGAGGAAGTTTCAAGCGGGAGCCGTTGTTGTTGCAACCCGGGGGGCCAGGGGCCCAGTTTGAGCATCAAGACTTTCCCTGTCAGAAAACTGGGTACAAGCGTCGAGGGGCACACTTTGATTGAGAAAAAACTGTATGCACCGGTGGGGGGATCAACAATAATTATTCTTCAGGAATGAAAGCTCAACAACAACAACAAAAACAATACCAACCACAACAACAACAACAGCAAAGGCAACAACAACGACACAGACAACAACAACAACAACAACAACAACAACAACAACAAAAACAACAACAACAACAACAACAACCACAACAACAACAACAACAACAACAACAACAACAACAACAATAACACCGTCGCCGTCGCCGCCCCGTCGCCGCCTCGTCGCCGCCTCTCGTATGGGCCGCGTCTTCGGTCTGGCGGCTATGTGGCTGCCGTCGCCGCCCCGTCGCCGCCTCGTCGCCGCCTTTAGTTGCACAACCTGAATCCTCTGTTCTTAAACGTATCAAGATTTACCCCCCCTCCCGAAACTAACGCAACGCATGGTTTTTTGTTTTTGCATCTGGTTCTGCACACCCGTCCATCCGAAGCATGAATTCATACTATCCCAAGCAAACCCTTACCGACCCACGGTAACCCTCGGCAAAAAAACATGCGCGCGAAGAACCCATTGCAAACAAAGACGAAGTGCACACGCGCACGCCATCGCGCGCGCATGCCGAACTCGTTCAAAAAACTTCGGTGTTGCAGGGGGTTCCAGATCGAGTGTGCCGCAAACATATGAACCGAGAACCCACGCTTTCGCAACAGGAATTCTCAAAAACCTGAAAATTCGGCGCTCGCGTTCTTGCAAGTTCTTACGAAACCGATCGGTGTCTCAAAATGTGGTACACATCTTACCAAACATGCCTCCCGCGCGCGCGTGTCGACATCATCCGCACGCCCTTGCGCGCGTGCTGTCACAAGAAGCCTTCTGAAAAACAAATGTGCACGCGCGCGCGCGTCGTCGCGCGAGCGTGCCAAAATCCTCGAACAAAAACCGAGCTCCCCGAACACGCATGAAAGAAAAACTGGTTGCGCAAAGAACAATGTTTGTTTTATATATATATATATATATAAATAAAAAAAAAGCCTGCGTGCGCACTCTTGCGAATTCTATAACTGCTTCAAAATGCGGACCACATTATACCACGGGCCTCTCGCGCGCGCATGTCGGAATCATTACAACGCCCCTGCGCGCGTGTTGGGGGGGCACGACCCATGTCAAATGATTCCATGCGGACCACTCACCCTGTAAAATGCTTCCAGGGGGGCGCTAACGCGCGTCGGCCGCGCGCGCATGTCGAAATCCTTTCCACAACCTGCATCACCGACGCGAAGATTGCTTCATCGTCACCGGCGTGATCAGCATCGGCGCCGCCATTGCCATTGCCGTCGTCATTGCCAGCACCGTCGCCGGCATCGCTACTATCATCATCGCGTCTGCGGTTGTCGACGTCGCCATGATACCGCGCCCTCACGAGTTACCGAGTCATCAACTTCAAGCTCGGCAGGGGGCATTGCACCGCAGAGATTGTATCACATAGATTGCACCACGTAGTTTGCACAACAGTAATTGCACCGCATGCGTTGCACCGCGTAGCTTGCACGGCAAATATTGCACCACATAGGGTGCACAACCTATATAAATTTGCGCCACATAGAGTGCACAACATATACTGCACTACATATGTGTCGCCACATAGATTGCACCACACAGGTTGCACAACATAGATTGCACTACGTATATTGAACCACTTACACTGCACCACCTGGATTAGACAGCGTAGATTGCACATCACATATTGCACAACATAGATTTCACCACTCAGACTGCATCACACTGCTTGCACAACACAGATTGAACCGCATAGGTGGTACCACGTGTATTGCATAACATATTTGGCGCCACATCGATTGTACCACATCCTTGCGCCACATCGATTGCGCAGGGCAAAATGCACAACATACGTTGCAACACATAATTTGCTAGAGACACACTGTGTTGGGCCCGCGCTGGCTAATATAGAAAAATTTATACACGCATCAGAAATCTGCAAATACTCATATATATACATTCATACGAGCATGCATACACAAATCTGTTTCTACACGCACAGAAGCACATATACACTCTACATACACGTACACGTACAATGTCTACAGATGCGCGTGGGAACAGCTATCTGGATCTCTCCCTCTCTCGCTCTCTCTCTCTCTCTCCTTCTCTCTCTCCCTCGTCCACCTCATCCTCCTTTTCCTCCTCCCACTCCTCCGACTCCTCCGACTCCTCCTCCTTCCTGCCCCTCCCATTCCTCCGCGTCGTCGTCCTCCACCTCTCTAGCCTGACCCTCCTTATTGGCGACCGTGGTCCTCCGATTCGGCATCAGTGGCGGCGCCCTCCACGTCGTCGAGAGACACCGCGAGCGCTCCTCCAGTGCCCGCAGGACATGGCGGAAA